GATGTAACCACAAAAACCAGAATATTTTGCATGGTAACTCGAAAGATGCAAAAGTAGTTGCTGTTGCAAAAGAAACTGATTTATGTGTGCTGCTTGTTCATGCAACACAGAAGTGCAAACCCACAAATTAGTGGTTTATGTGCATAAATAACAAACAAATCGTCAAGATTTGAGGCATCGCTGAAACTTTTGGTTCCAAAATTTGCTGTATTTTATCACAGATTAATGGAATTGTGGGCTGAGACAACTGCATATATATAAGCACAACATTGATAAGGTTACTGTGAAAAAAGCTAACGAGGAACCAGAAACAAGTCATCATTAAAAGTCTCTCCGAAGGAGTTATCGCAAAAGCAAAGACATTCGCGAAACAGCAGAATATAGTGGAACAACATATAAAAGCTATTTAGGGACAAAGATATTTATCAAATCTGAAAAAAATCATCTGCAGCAGTTCCAGCAGATCTATAATCACTCAATCAGAAAATAATTAAATTGTATCAACTTAACAAGGTTATTTTGGCTACACTGTTTAGGTGCAACTACTACAAGACATGTCCCAAAAGCCTGATGTTGAAATTTGGACGACATACTCGACCGTTTAAAGTCTAAATGGTTCACAGGAAAGCAGCTTCCTCATCTCCGAGAGCTTCCTTTACATCACAAGAATATGAAGGTAACGCAGGAGATGAATTTACCCATGAAGAAAATCATACACTTTCATACCCAGCGCTAAAGACCTATAGTGCGAAGACATCTTGGACAGCCTATAATAGTGCGAAGATATTTTCCGACTTAGCAACAGTCAAATGCAGATGCAGAGAAATAATTGTCCGGTTCAGAGTGGGAGCAAGACTTTGCGACTTCGGAGTAAGAAGTGACTCACTCGTCAGATAGTGACTACTACCTGTTTCAAACTTTGGCTATTGCGGTGGGCACAAATTCAATTTAAATGAACTAAATACTAATATTTTAATTGAAAAACATATGGAAGAAAAGCTTTTGCTGACAGCAAGCATCATATTAAAACAAAATTATGCTAACGTATCATTTTATGACAATAAAATATTTGATGACGTCATGCAAAATTTGTTATGACGTCATAATGAAAATACTTGTGTCGGCAAATCTTGCTTAAATATATATATCATTTGAAAGCTTGCAATGAGACGAGTCAAAATATGTAAGTTGCGTTAAAAAATAACCCTTCAGTGAGGAGCTAACGATGATTTTGTCTGATTTTTTACCGTTAAATGACGTCATCAATCACGTGACATCCAGGCATTTTCAAAAAAGTCACCTGGCAGATTATGAAAGCCTGAACTCCCTACTACCAGAATCCGTTGAGAAAGTAAACATTAGCTTGAATGTCAGATTGTCAAGCTATATGTCCTGTCTAAATGGAACTGAAAAGTTTTCTCTTTCTCCTGCAGCCGGGAGAGGGTTGCTCTTTTCTCTAACTTTCCAAAATTTATAGTAATTATTGGCGAAAGAGCTGTACTCATCTCCTAATTTTGAATTACACTGTACAGAACTGCCTTTCAATTGTTTTTTGAAAACATTCAGGGTTGAGTAAGGCAAAATCTGTCAAAATTGCCTTATGAGACGTGAATCTTGTATTCATTGAGCTGATAGCTGTATCTACTATCACGATGATATACGGATTCCCTATTTCCCTCTAATTCATCTATGCAATTTTCCCCTGGCATCTTTTTCTTTCTGCGTATTCGTCGCTCGACAAAATTTTCCTCTTCTAAGTCATGGCGAAAATAATAACTTTTTGCGTCTTCTACAAAACCAGCGAATTCATTTCGAAATGAACTGAGTTGAATTTTAACTGTCGGAAATGGGAGTTTATAAAATAACTGAGACCTGAGCGTTAGTTTCCTTTACAAATTTCAGCAATGCGATGATTCCGAAAAATACTCTAATGAAAATAAGTAAGAAGGGTTGATCATGCACTATTTTACGACAGGTTTAAAAAAATATGCGACCTTTTAGACAGGATCGATGAAAACCTTACATTTTGTCTAATATTTCAAATTTTCCGACAAACGTTGGATTTTCCGACAATCCGACAAAATTTTTGCCAGGGGGGGCGGCTGCCCCCCCTGCCCCCCCAGCCACTGCGCCCCTGCATATGAGTGCACAGATGTGAGAATTGTATTTGGTACGTACGTCAAGAAAACGTTTGAAGCAACAAGGTTATCGAATTTAGAAATTACATTGAAGTAAAATGTGATTTAACACTTGTAACGTGGTTTTTCTACCTTATCTTATTTTATCACATTCCATTAAGTGATTCAATTCTTCTTATGCAATTTCTTTTAGCGCTGCGTGCAAAGGCATAGGATATATATATGAGGGCTGAGAGGGCTGCCCCCCTAATTAGAAGGAATTTATCGGACTTAATCCTCCATTCGGGAATCTCAATGAAGAATAACATTCCAGCAAGATTCATGTTTTTGCTAAATATTCAGCATCTGTTACGCCAATGCCTAATTGAATCTTGGCAATGTGGTTTTCGCGTACATTCGAGTCCTTCGACGCTTTCAAAAGAACCCATACATGTTAAACATCCACATGGTGTAGTTCTAGGGTCCCAGGGGCTGAGATCCCCCTGTTAATGGCGAAACGTAGCTATTTTCTAGTTTTGCTTCTGTTGTTTAAAACATTTTGCGCAAATTTTCCCCTTGCTATTTTAGTAACACTAAAATCTTGCACATTCATATGTGAAATATAAGCTGTTGATGATACTGTGTGAAACAGATGTATCTTGAATGTATGTATCTCAATGTGAAATTTTAATGTGCAGATATTTCTCCAGAATAACATCTGCTAAAGCAGCTGCGATACAGTCTCAATACAGTGCTCGTAGAGCGCATTGCTAGATTTCGACTGCGAGAAATATCATCAATTGAAAATCAGTCCCAGCCATTTTGGCCACATTTCTAGCCAGATACTAGTCCAGTGTGATATTCCACAGGGTTCGCGCTTTGGTCCCCTTCTTCTCATATTGTATATTGTAAATTGTATATTGTATATTGCATATCGCATATTCTATAGTAACTTTAAGCTGTGCCTTGAAAGATGCAGATGATACCAGTGTAACCTGTTCTGCAGAGAATGTTGAAGAACTTATTTCAGAATGGATATGTCAGAATAAGACGAGTTTAAATAGCAAAAACTCTGAATTCATGTTTATAGAGTACCGAAGTGATGACGTCAATCAATCAATCAATCAATCAAAAACTGTCAAAAAATGTGTCAAAAAATATTTAGCTTACAAGCTAATTGGGGACAAAAATCTATTTTTAGAATTTCTGAATTTTGATCCCAGAACCTGAAAGAGCATCATGAAATACCTCTAAATATGCAAAATCAGTTAAAGGCATTACGAATTTTGGCTGAGATATGGCCACTTGAGCACAGGCTCTTGCCCCATCAAACCTCTGTAAATTGATCTTGGTTCATAAATAAAAAAGACAGTGCGTTTGTAATTTTGAGGAATATTTTGGAGTTGCTTTGGATGAAAACCTATTGTTGACTACACAGTACAAACAGGCAAAAAGCAAGATAAAAAGTGGGTTTTCTGCAATCTGTGAACTAAAAAATATACCACCTCAGTCTGAACTAGACCAAGTTTATAGGGCGCTTTTCGAAAGCCATTTGCGATATTGTAACGAAATATGGAGCAGTTTGTCGAAAACCAAACTTGATAACCTCTAGCGTCTGCAGAAAAGGACCCAGGTGCTTATTGAAAATCCCAAGTTTGTTTTTTTCGAACTTAATGAAATACATTAAGTAGCAAAAAGTTCCGATGCAAAATATTTCGGTGGGTTAATTTTCGGTGGAAAAAGTTTCGGTCATGTTTTTGAAATTTTGGTGTAAGTTTCGGTGAGAAATTGGAAAATTTTGGTGGAAGGAACACATTTTGGAGAGTAAAGAAATGAAACACTTTATGTAAGCTATTTCTATCTCCGACATAACATTTTCTGAAACGCAATTATAACAGCTTCAAAAATCGAAGATTTTATGTCAGCCCAATAAATGGAACCGAATAGTAAACAAGAATGTCATAAACTATTAGTTAACTGAAGGAGGGATTTCTACTTCATTTTTTGTAACCAACGGAGGAAAATTAATTGCAGGCGTATACAGCTGGCTATACTTTCGGTCGCCAATCACAACGAGGGGATTATAAGTTCTGAGCGATTGTAAATTTAAAATTGAGGCGTAGATATAAAGTAGAATTTTTCAATATATGCTAAAAGAGCATTATGAAATATTCTTAATGTGCAAAATCGGCTGAATATGTTACATTTTGGCTGAGATATAACTACATAAGCTCAGGATTTTATTCTTATGTTCATTGGAACAGTTGCGAATAGGGTTGTGTGCATAAATATTTTGAAAATGAAACAAAGTCAGACTAAGCGAAGATCTGAGTACGACTTAACCGGAACTTATGTAGCCTGCTATGATTGGCTATTACACGACCGTCGCTACGATTTTGAAAGTGTGGAGGCCCATTTTTGAGAAGCTGCTAGGTTCACTGTCACCCGGGAGCCCACCATGTTTTAAATTGAAGAAATCTTTTACTTTGCTAAAAAGTGGGAGGGCCATGGCCCCCTCCGGCAGCGTGGGCCAAATTAATTTTATCGAGCTATTAAAATAGCCTTTGCAGTCAGGAACCGTACTCTGCTACATAAACTTTTTGATAATAATAGCGATTCTTATACGGGAAGCTCTCTTCACCGAGCTGTTTTTCAGAGAGGTCCTGTTAAAATTAAATTTTGGATTCTTCAATTTTGGATGAAATAGAAAATCAATCTTTGAAAAAGTGGAATTTTTCAATGATCCACCCCATTGCATCCAAGTCCACCGCACGTCACCCCTCTCCACCCCATGCCTACCACCGTTGCCCCCACTGCCTATCTCAGAAAAACATTTCTAGATGACAACTGATTGGCGCATGCGCATGGTTTTGGCGGGTTTAATTGAGGGACCCAGCAACAACAAAGAACAACAAATGGCCAAAATGGAGGCAGGTGCCTAATGAAATATTGACGATATCTCCTGAGATTTGAATGAGATTGCTTGAAGTGATATGTTTGTAAACAGCTGAATGTAATCAATCTGGCTATTTGGCAAATTGATTGTTGCGTGCAATTCAAAATTTTACAGATTCTGGCCTAAGCATCTGGTTTTGTTTGCACAGGCCGTTCAACCACCAGCAACAGAAGACCAGTCAGTTGTTTAGATATTTGCAGTTTTGGAGGAGTTCTGAAGAGGTATCATGCATCCTAGGAGACCCTCTAGCTCGCTACAACGGAATTTGAACTACGATGACCCTGGAATCATGGGTATTCAATTTATTTATTTATTACACTTGTTTATTAATCTAAACTAAAGTCACACTTTGTAATGCGACTTCGAATCGTTTTGTCTAAATCAAACTTCTGTTTGAATGGGAATTTCATTCTTTTGTGTATTGCTCTTTTTTTCTGTCAAGCGATTTATCTGTTTTAGAAGTTTCTAGTGATATAGTGCTTGAGTAGCATCACACGAATGCAGCTATTAGTGTATATTAGAAGAAGGAGAGAAACATTTGTAGGAAAATGGACCCTTGTATTGATGTGCTTATCCAGGGGCGTAACTTGGCCAATAGCTTTGGGGGGGTGAAAAGGGTTTCTGCCCTGCAAAACTGAGTGGTGCCCTGCAGACCTCGTAGCAACGGTTTGTCTATAGGTTACTAGTGAAAGCTTTACCAGTGTACACTGGTCTTTACCAAGGACAAACTTCTAAGCAAAAAAAACAAACTTGAAACTTCATTGCCTATGAAATTTCTATTTCTCTACGTAAGCGTAAATTTTTTTTTATATTCACTTCATTTAATGTTGGTTTGCAAAATTAAGCTAATAAACAGCTAATTGGGGGGTGTGGGGGATGGGTACATGATGTAGACAGCGCAACGAAATTTAACCCAGTGGGGCTAAGAGTCGAGTTTAGTGAGGTAGGAGGACCCACCATGGTTGGGTCCGACGTGAAAATTTTTTTTGAAATTATACCTTGTAAAAAGGGCTAAAAAGCATCTTTCAGACAAAAATTTAGCATAATACTATTGTGCTAAAAGAATTGATTGTTTATTGAAAATATTATTGTTAATTGTGAAAAAACGGGAGGGGGATGTCATGCTAAAACTCTAGTGTTAGACGTTGGGGAAGGAAAGAAACGGCAACCTTTCGTTTCAGATTGCACGTAGTTGTGAATGACAGAGGAAGATGTTGTTTTGATTGGGAGAATTTTTTTCCTGAACAGAAATGTGCAGTTTCTTGTATCAAGAAGGCCATGTTTACGCATCCAAAATTAAAACATTGCAATGATACAGAAAATGATTTACTGAATTAATGCAAATAAAAGAAAAATAATAAAAATATACGTGAAAAAGTTAGCAATTAGATGAAACAAAATCGGTATCTTAACGATTTATTATGTTTTTTAGTTCATGCACTGTTAAAAGGTAATAGAAAAAATGATAAAAAATTCCTATCTTGACCAAAGTGAGGGACTTCAGCCCCTTATTCCCCCCCCCCCCAGTGACGTTGTGCTTGTCATGAAAATAATTTACAACTTAAATTAATTTGCATGACTCAACCTTGCCCTCGTAAACATATGCATCAATCATTGCATCCATTGGCTATGACTTTCGGTAAGAAATGCTTTCGCTTTGCAAATAACGCTTTTCCTTACATACCTGTTCCGTTCTCTAAAATGCAATGTCAGGAAGGGAGGTTCATAACAAATACGATATTTCCATTTCAAAATTCCTAAACGGCTGTTTACGAACTTCAGAGGTGGCATTTCTGCGTGGCAATAAATTTCTTCTTGGCGCCCTGCGAAATCTTCGATTGCCCTGCGAAATCGACTATATTTTGGATTGGGGGGGTGTCACACCCCCCCACACCCCCCCGGTAGTTTCGCCCCTGTGCTTATCAGATATAAAACATAACTGATCTTTTCAATTATATGAACTAACAGAACCAAGCGTGAACAGATGCAATATCTATGTTATAGATGTAATGATCAGATAACAGTACAATTCATTTGCCAGAAAAAGACTTTTTTTGGATATACGCTAATTCGACTTACTGCATCATTTTGAGAAATTCTTCAAGTTCTTTTGTACAAATTTTTGACCTAAACTTCGGATTGAGAGCAATGATTTTAGTCTACTTGGAAGTTTTCATCATGGTTTTGCTCACAATATTGATTTGATCATGACATAAAGATAAAATTTTCAAAAGGGATTTGACTGTGATAGGCAACTAGAGGGGTAAAGTTTCACCTGGAATGATTTTTGTGGTCAAATCCCTTAAACATGTTTCAAATTTAATTTCTCTGTAAAATCTAAAATACAAGCACAAATAATATGAAAAATTGTATCTGGCCTGAAATTATGGTGATAAAACCAAATCTGTGCTTAAAAAAGTTGTATAATTAGATTTGGAGAAATCTGTAAAGCGAAGCTGCGAGTCAAATTGATGTATCAATATTAAATTACATTTAAATCAGCAGTGAGCTGTTTTCTTTCGTTTGTTAAGCAGTGAAATCATTTTCTTTTCAGGGCAATCTCATCTAAATAGCTATGACATATCACCTTATCAGAGTACTCCAAGAAAGGTTAGTTTAAGAATGGTTAAATATCTAATTTCACGTTTCCTTACAACCTTTAATAATTATCATTTGATATGGGCAAATTTTCATCTTTTTTTGTTGATAGCTGTCAACCAATTTTAGTTTTTAGTTGAGCATTCTGTCTGACAGATGCATTCTTGACACCTTCATATCAAGATTTTTACTCAAAAAGAATCACTTGCTAAATGCTATGTGAATGCCTAAATGAAATTCATATTCAATATGTTTAACAATTTTATTATTTAAGCTAGCAATTTGGCATCAACTTTGTGTTTACGGTTCTGATAGACGACAGGGGGGGGGGGGGGGTTCTCATCTCATTAGTTTACCTACTTTGAGAGCTCCTCCTTAAGAATTCTACTACATCTAGTTGCATTGTGTTATTGTTTTATTTTTCTATATTATTATTGTACTAGAATTTGAATAATAATAAATCAAATCAAATCAAACACCCTTTACTGCTATTCTAACTAAAATTTTCTTTGATCAGTGACTATATAACTAGTGTTATAGGTCTCTTCATTGACAGTATGCTATTTAAACAAGTGTATTAGCTGTTTCCTTCAATCATGTTACAGGATAACCCCAGTGTGAATGTGCACTATGGACCTGGTCAAGGTGTATTTGGGCAATCAAAACCCTATCTCTCAGCTATTTCCAGATCAACTAACCCTGTACCTACAAAATATTCTGGAACTGCAACAAATGGTGCTCACAGAAGCACAAGGTCACCAAGTCCTACCAAAACCTCTATTGCTGGGACTTCCCCATCAACGGTAATGTCATATTTGCTTGCATATATAGATCTGACTTGTTTTAGGCGAAACAGTAATATAAGCAGAATGCACCAACTAACTTACTAACCAACTAGCTAACCAACAAACTAGCAAACTAACTAACAAATTTATCTAAATATATTTATTGGTTACAGATATTTTAAAAAAAAAATTAGAGTCATTTTTCTAACACTGAATTTCAAAAGTTTAGTTTTTTACCCAAGTTTTTACTTATTTTTAATCATTTCAGTTTGTAGATATTGACAATTCGACTATTCAAAGACAAAGGAAGGAACTGCAACTTTTAGTAAATGAACTTAAAGACAGGGACAGGTGAGCATTGAAAAAATTTTGTATAATGCTGAATGTAGCAATTTTTGGCAAAAAGTTCAGTATAGATCAAATATGTTGATGAAAAATACAATAGAAGTTCTATTTAACCCCTCTTTTTTACATGAATTACATCTTTCTAATGTGCCCCTTCTCTATTGAGCCATCCAAAAAACCTCCAGAATTGGATTAGCCCCTGATTACTTTATCAAGCTAAAAAAAGTATCTAGTTTCTCAAGTCAAGAAGTTATGCAAATAGCAGCGTATGTCATGATCTAATGTGTTGGTAACAATTATGACAATGTTGTAGATTTTATCATTTCCATAAGAAAATGTTGAAAGAGCTTTCATGATGTAATTTTGACAATGTTTTTGAGATTCTATTACTTCTATAGGCAGTCTGTAATCTTTGCATTCATTTGAACAGGGAGCTGAATGAAATGGTGGATTCACATCAAAAGCAACTTATTTCTTGGGAGACTGATAAAAAGAGGGTATGGAAATTGCTTTATTTATTTGTTTCCTGTTGTTGAAGTATTTTATGCATCTGTGATAGAGTCACTAAGCATTATTGAAAAATCTAGTTAGTATGATCCTTATTACTATTGTTAGGGTTTGTTTACATGGAGGCGAGTTTCCTTCTAGCTGAGTTTTCTGGCATGTATAGTAAATCTACAGTTTTCAATTGCAGTGAACCCTCCTTATGCTGAGGACTTTACTTTCCCCTTTTTTGAATGATGCCAAAGACATTTTACTATGTGTAAATTTGCAGAAATTTTCGCAAGTACATGTAAAAACAACCAGGCCAGTTTCTTAAGTATATATAAATGCCAGCAGTTAATCTACCTGTCTTGTGAGAACCCTATAAACAGGCCCTTTAGAAACATCACAGATGCTTTTTCTTTTGAATTTTCTTTGTTGTTCTCTCAAAGATATTGTTTTTATAATTATGCATGCAATGGATGATATGCTTAGAAATTTCTAGAAATTATGATCTAATGATTTTGCAAGTATTATTTAATTGCTTTAGGTATTTTTGTAATAAAGATGTAATCATAACTATTATAAATACCAGTTGTTTTCCCATATACAGGGAGAACTTTGATGATAATTTTGGCTTGGGAGAATTAAAATTACTTATCTTTGTGGACATTCTGCTGTCTGTATGGACTAACTGTGTGTGATAGTAACTGAATGGAGTTCACAAGATGATCTACTAATTATGTATTCTCTCTGCAGGTCTTAGTGCTGGAAAGACATGTGCCAAAACTAAGATGTAAGTGATTAATTGACATTACTTTTCCCCAGCCTTGATATTCTTGTAAAATTCAAAGTTGATAATATCATTTTTTAGTTTAAACAAGTGTGAATATTTTTGCTGATTCTATGATATAAGTCATTTGTGAAACAGTGCACAAACTTTTATCCCTAAAAAGAACACTTCAGGCTTCCTAGATATTTCACCTGCTTATACTGAACCTAAAAGCTTTCCTACTTTTTCTTCCTTGACAAAAGGAACCTTTTTCTAGTTTTATTTAGTGCATCTTTAAATATCATGAATTAAATATTTGTTTGGTATTTCACATTTGATAAGTATTTCTTCGACTTTTTAAAAATCAGACTATATTTATTTTTTAGCTGATCTAAAGAAAAGAACTGAGCAAGTTAGAATCTTAAAAGAGAGGTAAGTGCTCCTCAAGATAATATGTAATTTTTGTTTGATTTGAAGCCATGGCACTGGTTGAGATTACATAAGTTTGGAAATCTTAAGATACGTTGTTACTTCCCTAATTAATTTGACAGCCAGGCTGTGGCTAAATGCTCATTTTCAAATTTAAGTATTTTCAAAGCTTGATTTACAAATGTGAATCTACATACATATTGTTTTTGAATCTATCTTATGTATAAAAATTGAAGTATTCAAACCAGGAGTATTATGTTTCTTTTTTTATTAAATTTTGACTGGTGAATATTTGAGATTGGTTCTGAAAATTGTTTGGAGAACTTTAAAACGTTGTGTAGACATATCTGCAAATACATAACAAATACAGCAATTGGTGTATGATTTTTGACTGTTTGAAAGCATAGTGTATTCAAACAAAAAGTCTTTTCAGTTACTCTTGATTTAAAGGGTTCCAAGAAGTTCAAGCAGTCATTATTTTAAAAGCATTTATGAAAGGCAAGCAATATTTTTACTTGATTTTGCCAAACTTGTTTTTGCAGATTACGAATGACAGAACAGAGTGCCCAGATGAAAACAAAAGAACTAGAGACAACCCAGGTATTTCATGCTTCGTTGTTCAGGGCTAATAGTAATGGGTTTTAGGGAGCAGAACATCCCATTCTGACCCCCAAAGAACTTATATGAGCTGGAAAACGTCAGCCTTGCAATGAAAAAATGCTATGAAAGAAAATTATTGCTATGGCTGAGAATTGCTTTGAGACCCCCTCTCTGACACCCTGAAAACCTGTTGAAAAATGTCAACCTTTCTATAAAAAATGTCCCAGAATAATTACTCTATATATTCTGGTTTAATAGAAAAATTGCTCTTAGATCCCCCCTTAAAATTTGTTATAGTGTTTATTTAAAATTTGTTATAGTGTTTATTTAAAATTTGTTATAGTGTTTATTGTTTGAATAAATCTTAATTACAGAAACTTTTTAATATTATCAGTTTATTTTGGATCACAGCTCAATTTAAAATTTTACTCTTTTCCGTCTTTTTAATTGAAATAAGCAAAAGTACAGTCTACATGGGAACTATCATATATGCCAATGATATAAGCGATTTACTTGCACTGAAGTTTTAGCAACTACTTCTGCCATCATTGCCTTGATTGCTAGATTTCTTATCAATAATGAAGACTTTATACTTTGGTTTTTCTACTCCAGCTCTCATGATTTTGTTCTGTTTATAGATGCATCTGCAACAGGCATCAGATCAAGCAAACATGTCGTCGCATCAAGTCGAAGAACTTAAAGTATGCACGTTATTGTTGCATGAATCCATGTCATATAGAAGCAAAACATTTTGCACCAATATATTTACATCTTATTATCAAGTATTTTAAGGCCAAAACATTGTCAAACTGTGTGCTGCAAATGTTGTACTTTTGCCATAATATTTACTTTTTTCAACGCTAACAACCGAGTATTTTTGAACATTTTTGCTAAAGATTTAGACGCCATATAATAACTATGGCTAGAAGTTCATATAAAATTATTTGTCATGATAAAGTTTAAGTGAGTGCCTCATGGACTTTTTTACTGTTTTAGTGTAGCATTTCATAAAACTTAAGCGAAACAAGCGACTTACCTACTTTATTGCTTACTTCAATATTTATGAAATTAGGTTATTCATTCATATTCAATGCTAACTTTCCATCTAATCGAAACAGGATAGAAATGAAAACATGGCTAGATCCATTCAAGAGCTATCGACATCCTTAGGCCAACTGCAAGCGAAAGAACAAGAGCTGGCTACAACATTGAAGCTGAAGGTGAACACTTTGTACTTTAAAAGAAAATTTAGTAGATAGTTTATTGACTATTTTAGACTTCTTTTGTAAGGTAAATATATTAAAACCCAAAAATTTTGCTCATTTCTCCATTATTTGATTTAGTTTTGCGCAAACGAAGTTTATCACTTATTGCAAAGTCTTAGTGAAATCTATCTTCTTAACAGCCTGACATTTTATCATCAACATCAACATAACGAGTAAACATAGAGTTCTCAAGTGTGACGTCACAAGGAAACTATTTTTAGAATTTTCGAATGTTGACCACATAACATGAAAGAACACCGTAAAATAAAGTTATGAACTGAGACCAAATTACAGAGGTTTGATGGGGCCAGAGCTTGTGCTTATCTGGTCATATCTCAGCCAATTCGTAATACCTTTAACTGATTTTGCAGATTTAGAGGTATTTCATGATGCTCTTTCAAGATATGGGAAAAAATTTCAAAAATTATAAAAGTAGATTTTTGTGACGTCATCACTTAACAACTCTAATGAAGCTAACATTGTCGAGATAAGAATTTGTTATGTACATATTAAGTCTTGTCAATAAAAATCGATTTTTTGATGTAGGAAAACGAATTAACAGATGTAAGTGCTAAAGTTGAGGACTTAGCGAAAAGAACGAAAAGTTTAAACAATTCTCTACAGGTTAGTATTTATTATTTGCCTGAACGTTTGTTGATATAGGAGCCTTGAATTTCCCATGAAAACTTGGCACAAATAGTTATTCAGGAATCACCATTGTCTTATTGCATATGGGTATATTGGTGAAGACCCCTCCAGAATCAGAACCCTTATTACAAAGGCTCTTTAAAAAATTCCTTTTATATTTTTATGACATGGGACAGCTGGGCCTTATTTCTGTTCATGTTCAGTGTGTGAGTATTTGCCCAGTCAAATATCTGATATAATGTTAACCAGTTGTGTTCCATGAAAGGTATCGCTTTGTTTCATTATAACCTGCCCCGTTTTTGCAGGAAAGTCGTAAAAACGAAACTCTGCTTAAATCTGAAAGAGACCAGTGGAGGGAACAGCATCAAGTTATTAAGCATGAAGTGGAGAAGTTACGAGGTTTGCGATCCATGTTTTTTCGTAGGTTAAAAATTGTACTATTATTGAGTCCAGAGACATAATGGTGTGGGTACTGTACAACTTATAGTTTGTTTTATGTAGAAATGTTGGTTAAAGTCAGGTCTTGTCACTCACTGGGTAAGGCAAACATGTCACAATCACAAACGAATCCCAGTATAGAACTTTTTATTTTTGCATTTATGTTTAGAATTAGCTAATAATATCAAGAGGTAAGAGATAGGAATAGAATCAATTGAAAAAGAATTTGATTGGACTAAAAATGTATAGGCATGTTTAAAACTGAGTGCAGAGGCTGTGTAAGATTCTTTCCACTTAAAGAACCAAAACAAGAGAGCCAAATTGATAATTTCTACGAGTGACTAATTTTAGGTTAGGTTGACATTGCTTTAAATTCAGAAAATATTCTCCCAATTTTGTTTAAAGCAATTGTGTAGCCTTAGCTGCTAAAAATAGAATGTAAGTGAGGATAGTGGTTTATATAAGAGGACAATAATTATGTAAAAGGAAAATAAATCTTCTTCTTTCTATTTCAAACGTGTTTGATAAATTGAATTTACTCTCTTCAATATAGCGGATCTCAACAACCATTACAACAATGAGGATGAATATCAGAATGAACTGGCTCATGTAGGTTCCTCTTTTTGTACATCTTAATTTTCAATTTTGATTCAAGTGTATTCTGACTAAGGATTTGTTGTTATCAAGTTCATTAGGTTTACAGCCTTCAGAATTTGTTGACAATATCTTTTAATTAGAGATCTGCCGTTATTAGGTTTTTAGATTAACCGCCTTCAATACTTGTGAACAATATCAGTTACTCATTTTTGTTAGGTCAAGCAAGAATTGCTCGCTACGCAGAAAGAGCTGTTTCTTGCTGGTATGTATTTCAGCCTACTTCAGTGTTTTATTGTCTTTGATGTATATATTTCTTATTCATATTTAGTTATCTTCAACTATCTTTGAGTCCGCCTTTTCAACATTTTGTACACTTGTAGAGGAAGTTCTCTTTTTCTTGTTGACCATCCAAGCATATTACACTGAACTGAATACCATACATCCATACATTTCTCTGGTTTTCTATAAAATTTATATACTTCCTTTACACAGCAAAAAGCACATTTAAAATATGCACTGTACTGCATTGGCTTGGATGTTTTTCTTTCATCGTTTTTGAAAATACATAGAACAGAGATCTCATTGTACAATCTTCTTTTTTTACTTAAATTGATTCCAATCAATGAATCTGCTATCCCTGATTTCTTTTGGTTGTTTAAAAAAAACTCACATACCAAGCAACATTTTCTGTTCATTTGTTAGGTGAAAGAGAGAAAAGGAAAGACCAACTTGTTGAACTCAGTAAATCAAAACAAGAAAGAACAGAGACAGAGTTACAACACTTAAGAAAAGTAAGAGTTAGAAACATACTAAAGTTAGAGAATATGGCAGGAAGGAGATGGGATATTTTATTTATTGTCCAGAAGCTTTTGTAGTGGGTTGCTGCCTGTAAGGAGAACTGGGGATGAACAAGACAAGCAGTTTGGCAATCGGTTTAGCCTGTCGACGTATTTACATTTTCATGATAGCTTGTCTTTGCAATTTTCCATATTTGCGAAAGCAACTAAAAATCAGTGTTTCATTCATCACGTTTCCATGTCCTTATCCAGCTGTGTACCTTTGAATAATGTTTCAATTACTCGCAGTGTTTTCATGCTCAAGGTATAAACAACACTTCGCATGCAAGGCATGGGTACGGCTTTGATTTTCAATTAAACTTTAGGTTTTATACTTCAGGTAGCCCGGGTTTTCATTATGCTTTGACCCGAAAGAGTGTCGTGTAAAGTCTTTTTTATGACTGCAGTGCACCTTTTAAGTTGTTTTTTTGAGTTCGGTATGGTTTGAGTATTTTAGGCTTTTGTTCTAACGTTAACCTGCATGTCATAACTAGTGAATTTACAGAAGTTGAATAGAGATTTGACTTTCTTATCAGGTTTTTGAACGCCAGCAGCGAGAGCTGATGATGCTACAACAACAGGTCCAGGAACAGGACATCACTGACAGGTTGCTGCATGAATCCTATGTGTTTTTAAAGCTTTAAAGCTAGACCTCTTTTGTATTGGTTTTGTTGTGTTATGTTTTGTAGGGATCTTTGCAGAAAAATAGCCTCATTCAATTTTAAGATGAGTGTTTGTGTAACAATGCACGTTTAAAAGAGAATGAATGAGTGAATGATTAATTTTCTTAATTGACTAATTTATCAAATAAACGAATCGATGAATCAATGAAAGAAAAAATGAATGGATGGAAAAAAAACAAGGAAATAGAAAAGAGATAAAGAAATAGCTGGAAATAAAGAAAACTAAACAGGGGGAAAGAAGATAATCAGTAAATGAAAGAATCACAGATTTGCATTCGGAAACATAGGGACATTTATAATGTTGTCTTTTCCTTGCCATGTCATGAAATAGCTCAGAATTGAGTTTGTAGAAGTATGATACATCTAATATACATTTATTCTTATGTTAACTATGCTTCGGAGGAAATTATAATTATAATATAATTCTCTCTTGTCTTCTTGGTGATTTCCTTGATGGTTGAGCTTATAACATTGCTATGTCTCTTTTAATAGGTTAAGCGATCTGAACACGGAGGACGATCTCTCTGATATCAGTTCTGCTTACAAACCGAAATCAAAACAACCTGATGATTTCCTTGCTGATTTGGATCATTTTAGTTATCAGGTATAAAGGCCACGTTTGTGATTGGTTAAAATTAAGTATTAGAGCGCTTTGATTCGTTAGTAAACGAACAATAGACGTGCAAGATGGTTGCTGAAAATAGGGTACATCTTTGGAACAACAATAAATAGTTCTATTGGTTTGCCTGCGTTATCAAAGTGGCCCGAAGATGGACTGTCTCACTCTTGATGTGTCATTCGCGCATTTCAATAAATTAATGTCTGTGTACTTTCTGCTCGGCCGTATTTGATTGGGAATTTTTGCCATTCCCATACATTAAGCAACCAAATTGCATTGAATAAGTGCAAGAGATAAGAGCTTATAACTGTTCAATAAGAAATTTTTTTACACGATAACAAATATTACTTAGCTTTTTGTAATTCAATGTGATTTTACTGATAATGTGAACTTATTTTACAGGAAACTGGCAAGAATATTGATTATACAGGTATGATAATCGGAAGAAGTAAATCATTTTTTTTATTGTTTAAAACAAAATAGTGAAAGTGTGATGTCATCAACTTTCTAGTGTGATGTCATCATCTTCATTTCATGGCAACATATTCTTGTAGTCGATAGAAAACTGACATTTAACATCTAGCATTTTTCCTTTGATCGTTTATCAACTCAAATATTTTATTTAGCTTTAGCAATTAATCTCCTCGTCTTTCAATTTCGATAGTCACGATTGTCGTTCTGCATTGAAATTATTTGCTTCACAGAATTATCAAACTATTCTTAGAAAATTGATACTTTTCACTTAACTTACTGTTTAAATTTTAATAACCTGTGGTTGAAGACATAAATTGACTTTAGCTTTAATTTGCTTTTGGTAAAAGATCAATTATTGCTTTACCGCAAGTGGTTCTTTCCAATCCGTTTTAGACATTTATTTGAACAAAGACCGTATACCTCATGGTACCAGTCTACCAGTGCCTAACATATCACGGTCTATGAATGGGAAAGCAAACTCAAACAGCTTTAAAGGAAATACTTCATTAGATGGTAATAATTTAACCAAATCTCCAACTGGAAGCTACTTGGATTCCGGAGATACAACTAAGGTACCCTATAATCTTTATATTTTTGTCAAATGCGTCTGACCCAAATGTTTTTCTCCCTCACTCATTTTTCAGTTTCGATTCTACTTATAACTGATTGTTCCTTTCCAACCGGAAGCCATGGTCGCATAAGACGTACTGTTGAAAGTCACCGCTAGCACTATTTTGGTACAAACCAAACGCACCATCAAATTACATTATTTTTTCTCATTTTGACCCTCCATCTAGCGTTAGATCCTATGCATTATGTTTTATTTGTGAGTTTTCGTATGTCAGAAAACACCATAAGAATCCATCTAATGACTATGTACAATAAATGGTTTTGACGAAATTGGTAAATGTCCGTAAAATAACAGAAAGTAGCATTTCCTCCAACCTCCACCAAATAATTGACAACCGAACCAATGTTTTTTATTCTTTCTCAATCTAACTAATTTTTTTATATGAAACTGTTCAGCTACAAACGTTTGTTTATATATCCGATCAGTATCTATAACAATCCTTAGATTGTCCTCAAACAGAGTTTTTTGCCGTTTTAGTCGAAGGAATTCTCAAAGACTGACAAGAACTTCGTATTCTAGGCAGTTAAGAATGACTCAGCTACTGAAAAGCTTCAAAGACTGCTGGAAGAATCACGGCAAATGGTGAACAGCCTTGAGGCGCAGTCTCCCATTTCATCCATTCAGTCAACTCCTGAAAGACAGGTACTTCAAATCATGGCCATAAGAAGTGGTTTTATTGTGCCCTTGAGCAACATTTCTTGACTTAATTGTGCCTCTCAAGGTTAGGCAATGGAAACATGCAGTATCAAAGCCTTGACAGCATGGCCCAGAAGCCTTTCTTATTACTATCTGTCAATGTGCCATGTGCCACAGTATTATGATCTGTCTGTGTGCCTTCAGGCTTTGCTTGTCGGGCTATATCCCTTATCTCAAGTTGATGCCACCATTTTACTGTATTCAAATGAATGCATAGCAGAAAGTCATACCAAATTTTAGCATCTGTAATCATTTTTTGAACAAATATTCTTTCATATTGATTTAATGATAATTGATTCAATGTGAATGATTTATGCAATTTGCAATTGCTAGCAATTGAACTTGAACTTTCTTTAATGCAGGACATTAGAAATCGGGGCACAGAGAAAAGTTTCTCGACACCCGGTGATGAGAGATGTCGCTCCCCTCCCTTGCTTAGACACCTAGACAACATGGAGCTGTAGCTGCAAAACGACCATATTAGTAGAAAGTATTATAAAGCCTATCGTATATCTTTTTGTACGTAAATAAAAAGAGTGTGAAAGAGCTGCTACTAATGTTCTGGAAATCACCTGTTTAAGGGTTTTTATATATACTATTGTATGTATCTTATACGAGGCTACATACAGAGTACCAAAATCCTATACGACTTGAGTAGTTCGATTCTGCATAATTCTGGTATATTTTGATTCTTTTAATTCAAGAAAGTTTCAATAAACTCAACAATGGAATTACAAATGGTTAAAGACAATCTCATATACGCGCTAACTAAACTCCTTTCACTACGTCAGTCTTGTGTGTATTTTTGTTTTGTCACACCCTAGATGAAAATATCGTTTATAACAATGTTTTGCTGGTTTTACTATAATTTTTACTGATTGCAAATGTTTTCATCGTTCGTAAGTATTTTGAAATGTATGCATTTTAGAGTTTACCTTAATGCTCCTGATTCGTTACTACGAATTGTTCGTTGCACTTATACTATCAACATTTGGACAAAACCTGCAAAAAGCTGAGCTGCGATTCCCGAAGAAGCGGCAAGACGTAATTTGCTTGCACATGTGTATGTTACCTGATTTTTAAAAGCTGGTTCGATGCATCACACAATTGTCTTAAAATGCACTCATACCCAGAAAAATTGAAATGATAGTGCACAAGTTTATTTGAAGTTATTAAAACAAAAACTACAGCTTTATATGTTTTATGTTTTTGGAGTTAAAGCTTTTACCCTTTCAATTGTTTAGGCAAGGAACTGGAGGCCAATCTCAGCTGCATATCCCTAGATTCTCCTACTAACAGAATACACTACCTTTTTGCCATTATTTGCTTTTGGTTCTGAACAAAAGAGGGCAGTTAATTATCTTGAATCAACTGCAAACTCAACTAAAAGCTGCTAAAATACTTTTTGAAATTTTCCTACAAATTTGTGAGTATTGCTGTCTCCTCATATTAATTAGTATTGATTTGTTATATCATATTTTGAAGATGAAGATTTAGATGTGATTTTTACGTAAATGTTTAACATATTTGGAAATAGTCTGATTAGAAAATCGATGTCTATGATGTAAATTTAAAATTCTTAAAGCTATTTTATATGAATTTATATGTATACAACAGTGGCTTATTTCTGCATCGTTTATTTGGTAATCTCAAGCTTTTTCATTGAATTGATATAACTTTGGTTTTTGAGCAGTATTTTAAGACATTGCTTTGGTTTTATCTTGAAATTATCATGGATTTTCATCGATCGGTCCACTTCCTATCCTTGGTTCCATGAAGAAGTGTGTAACTAACTACCTGGTTATAATAGTATTTGTGAACCAGAGTCTTTTTTCTGCGCTACAGTTAAAAGAGGGCTAATTTTTCTAACCTTCGACTAATTGCAGCATATTATCACTTGACAGCTGATTTTATTCTATGTTTTATAACAATGCTGCAGAAGGCACGAAGAAACAACGCTGCTTTTTGATTTCTTACAGGATTGCAACCCACCACCTGTAAGTACTAAAGGAGCATGATTTTATAATTCCACCAAAGGGACTGATTTTGGGATTTATATTTGTATTTATATTTTTCAGTGCTTTTAACCATCGTCCAAAAATATTCATACCATCAAATATTGTAGCCTTCTTTTCTGCTCATTTTGCAATTTTTAACCTGGATGTTCACAGCTGTAGACTTTTAGCACGCAGAAATGAGACCATAGCTAACTGTTTATATTATGTTTCATATTCACTTTTCTTTGTTCATATGTGATCGTTTACACCTTAAACGGTCCTTTTTTAAAAGAACAATTTTGTAAGAATGCGAGCTTCAAAACTGATCGAGAGTAAAGAGCAATGTAATATAAGAACAGGCTGAAGCCGCGGTACAGTAAAATGTTATTTTGAACAAAGTTGTGTGAAACCTCTTTACAAAATATTAAATCGCAAAAGCGAGGAGTTTTTGCCATCTATGGGTGCTTTTTCGGTGTATTTTCATATAAACGATAGTTCATTTTCTGCTTACACCCTAATAATTTTAGAACAATTTAAAAACAATTTATCCTGAACTTCAATTCACTGGTTCTTACAAAAAACAGTGCATATGAGGGCCCTTTCGATTTCAAACAGGCTAATCTGCAATCCTTTCTCCAATATCAAACAGTTGCCTCCTTTACAGAACAAGGACAATAACATATCTTTGAATAATGTTTTTCGATAAGAAAAAGCAGCAACACACATTGGCCAAAGTGTGCAAATCAAATAGCTGGGATGTTTCATCAAACAGTTACAGGATGCACAGTCTAAACAATACCATTTCAGTATGCAAAGATTTTGATACCAATTACAGTAAATAACAAAGAAAACATGGAAGGAAACAAGCTGCCGAAAGACCAGACTGCGCAATCTACATCATGAAAACCTAGCGAGTAGCCATAACCAATACTTTGGCAACATTACTGCCGGTGAAGTAAATGATAACAGGCAAATGAATGCGGAACTTTAGGTTGATAAAGTTGGAATTACTTTTCTATGCGAAATATTTCGCAAAGAAGGCAGCAACACGAGATACGCATGCTTGATAAGAATAAGACTGTAAGGTAACCACGCTATTGACATCTTACTGGATCTGCGCAAAAGCACTTTCTAAAGCAGCCACTTTGGCAAAAAAGTATTTTAAGGTAAACATACCTAGTGAGTTTGACACATCTGATACGTTTTTCTCGTCATGCCATCTTCAATTAGAACAAAAGTATGCTTCCAATGAAGCAAAAGGGGACTCGTGCTAGGCTGAATCCTTAAATACCCCCAATTGACCTAAGGGAATTGAAAAGACTATGAAGGCACGTGTCTCTCCCTAGAAGTCAACGCTAAACTCTCGGGAGAGAACAGGATTCTACAACATTGCATGTAAGCTGGAAAAAATAGGCACAAGTAAAACGTGATGAAGCAAGTCACAAGAGACTATCATGAACAGGAATGATTCAAACTAAAGCTTCAAAAGCTTCAAAATGCTTCAAAAGACAAAAGTCCCTTGTGGAATTAACTCATTATTAGATGCCTCGCCTCTGTATTTGTATACCAGACATACAAGTGCATCTTTTTCTATATCATCCTCAACTCATCATATAAGTGCATGTATTTGTATACCAGACATATAAGGGCTTATCAATACGAAAACGAAACGCCATAATCCTAGGCCATTGTCCAACTCTTCATACTTTTATGATTTTAACAAAATATATTCTTTAAGTCCACACACGAAATTTTTCTTTTATGCACTGTGCTCTTATAACGTGTTGGTAGAATTAGGCCTAGAGGATGTGCTAAACTAACGGGTGAGCCGATATTTTCTATATTTCGAAGTGACTTGCCTTTGTAAGTAAACAAAAAAAATGATAGCAGCTTTTTAAAATGTTATTTTTACAGATATTTCTAACTTTTTCTACAGTCTTATTATTCAGTCGACATACATAATAAATGATATTTCGAGCATAGTTACCAAAATTCAAAATTTCCAAAATCTTTAATAAACGAAAAATTCAAAAAGCTATTTCAATAATTAGAAAAGTTTTATTAGGCTAATCTATTCTTAGAGATAAAGTTAAATACTTTTAATGACGTCATTGTTTAGTTGAATTGATGACGTGCTTATAATAATTGTGCTTGGCACTGTGGCTTGAAATATACAGGCAGACTGCGAAAGCACTGGGTAAATTATTTAACTCTTATACCCCTTCGGGAAGGAAGGGGAAATGTTTTGCAATGCCAATGCAAGAGTTGTACATATTATACCAAACAGGGTGGTTCATTTTTCATATCATGTTCTTCAATGAAAAAACTAAAATATTGAAACAAATGTTAGTTAAATTCTTAAAAGAGGATTTCTTTAAGGCTTTTACTGAGAATTTCTTGAGCGTCGCACAACAAATGAAACAGCAAATGAAGGTTAACGAGAAAACGAAGTGTTCTCCTTTCCTTTTCAAAGTTCTTTCTTTGGCAGATGTCTGGAGTTGAAGGCGCATGTCTCGACGCATTTCGTTGGATATTAAAATTTCCCATTGGTTGGATTATATAATAGACCTATTGTTATTTATCCAATCGGGCTGTTAAGCCCACTGTTATTATAAACGCGCTGAAAAGCCCACTGTTAACTTTGAACGGTTAACTGGCGGAACAGAGTGCCTTTAGCCGGCTCTCGAGATCATATAATATAGGCCCCTGATAGCAAACAAATAAATACCGCACGTAGGCCATCTACACTTAAGTAATTTACCAACCATATTAAGATAAGCTGAGAGTATCAACCTGAAATTCAAAAATTCCCCCAACTCCCCTAAGTCCTAAAAGATCACCATAAGAATTCTTAAGGTTACTTTCAATCAACCCATACATGGCTTCTGCTCAACAAAAGGCGCCTGGGCCTGTGCGAAAGGGAGCTATTAAGCAGCTGTAAGAGCAAAGCCCCTTTATCTCCAAACTCGGATTGTATCATCATGTCAGGTTCACGATCTGATACTTCCAAAATTCGCACTTCAGCGCAATTAAGAAACACGTTTATTAATAACTATTGCCGTGAACACTCTGCCATCCAGCTAAGAACGTCTGACAAATTTCCAGCGAGTCTTTTTCTGTTCACAGGACCCATGAAAACACGACCTAAAACAAGAAAACATAAATAAAAGATGAACATGCTCAGAGTGGGAAGGGATGAACCATTGGAACAAATGCGTCCGAAATTCCCCAAATGTTCCGGTATGAAAATTTATTTAATGTGACGTCACATTCGAGAGTTTGCCAAACTGAAGTACAAGTCTCTAAAAGCAAAACTTAGCTCAATTAAAAATGTACACTAAGAATTTAGCTAATCATTTTTGCAATCATTGAAATTATGCAAAATGTCATCAATGTCGGGCACAAGCTCCTTCCAGAAGATTTGTATCATAAGAAGACGGCAAACAAAAAATTGCTACTGGAAAAAGAGAGCAACGAAAATGAATGATCAAATTATTACCATTAAATGATTCGATCTTTAGTGCTTTTTGCAGCGGTATCAATCCAGGATTCATTTGAATAGCTTTGATTGCAAAAGAACAAAGTCCTTGCTCAAAGCTCATTCCTGCAAAAGGAACAATAAACTTCAAATACTAAATCGGACCTCGATACGTCGAACCTCCAAAGAAAACACGAATTTATTCGACGTATCGGAGTCTCGGTTTACCCAGGTTTACATACAACTTAAAGTTGAAATTTTCTTACAAATACTGCAAAAGTGGGCAAAGATTGATATCCGGCCGAAAGAGCAGCCTCAAAAATTTGTAAAGTGTTTAATTTACTAAAACGCATATCTCAACCGATGCAAATGCACGGTTAAAGTGAAGGGGTCTGAAAGGGCAAGCAGTGGGTTTGAAAGGATAGAAAGAGATGGCTGCAAGTTCCATGCTAAATGAAATTCAAGGGCGATGTAGGTTTGGTGACCATTTTGAAACAAGTGGATAAATAATTCAGTGACTGTAGTTGATTTCTTGTGCTAGTGATTTTTGCAAAAAGTTGTCAATCAAAATAGCTTGTGTTATATTTCTTTCCGATTTTGTTCAACGTTAAGGGACATATTTGCTTGAAGTAGTTGAAAATGTGATTAACCATAGACTATGGATTGACCAACCAAGATATTTTAATAATCTGGGGTTCAAATTACCTGAGGTTATTTCTACACATAAAGCATATCAAAACAAGAAGAGGAAACAAAGTTCGAGATAGCAAAAAAATATTTCTAAATAACCTCAATTAAAATAAATACGAGGTTCGGGCATTTGTTGGCATGGCCAATGGCCCGCGTAGAACAGGAAGTATTTCTTCACTAATGTCAATTCTTGGAAGCAACGAAATCAAAGTATGAATTCACTAAATACCAAAATTATTAGAAGCAATGAAAGAAGACTAATTTACAAAAGCACCGTGATCAAATGAAATTGAAATACGGGAGTGTTGACAAATTACGTCACTGCTTTCCGGGAATGACAACGTATGAAGAAATTCTTTGGAGAAAGGGCTATCATCAAAAGGGGGAAAGGGTATCGCCATTTTTTGCATGCCATTTAGAACTAAATATTCATGTTAATACATTCATGTTGATATTTCAGACAACGTTAAGCCATCATGGCAAAAGAGGACTCGAGATTTTTCAGCGTATCTTCAATTAGAATTTATATCCAACTGTGAACAAAGTTATTGAAAGGCGTTAATAATATACTTTAATGTACTTTAATGTAAAAATAAAAATATACTTTTTTTACAAAGCATTACCAGAGCAAACTTGTTCTTTATGTTCCTGGAAGGGCCATATGTCCCAGCCCCCGAATTAACCCTAATCGCCTCCCTATACTGAAAATGTCTATGAATTTCGAAACAACCATAAAAATGGAGATAAACCTCTAAGTTTGATCTTTTGCTTATCTATCTGGAAAATAATTCTGGCATGAATGAGTTAAATATGTAATGTTCGCGATAAATTTCACAGTTCTGAAATAAAGATTAAAAATCGGGTGGAAGTAAATAAAGGAGAAATTTTAATTTACAATACCATCTTCTGGCATATGGTGACACAGAAATGCCGTCACCTAAGAAGGGGAGAGACTACAGTTTCGTTTCCTGACGGTTGACAAAGGTTCACAAGAGACTGGGGAGGAGGTGACGTCTGTCTAAAGATGCCTAAAGACTGGTTGACGTCAACTGTAAACGCATCCTAAGACGCTTAGTATTCGTTTTTAAAGCATAAACAAAAAAATCACAAACAGACTTTACTAACCTGATGAATAATTTGGCGGTAGGTAACAAAAGCCTATTATATCCCGTATTGATTCGATCTTAGCATCCTGTTCATTACAGGCCTCTGACGTCATTCTTGGTGTTTCGCATGCGCTGCCTGACTCATACCTGAAAAAGCAGTGCCAATAAAATATTTATTTTGTCTTGAAATAATACAGGTACTGTAAATCCTCGAATTGGCCCGCCCCCCTTGAAAAAGCCACTCCCCAAGAATAAGCCCCAACCTTGAAATAAATATTGTCAATAAGCCCCTCTCCTAGAATAGGCCCCCACTGCTACTGTAAATTTTCGAATTGACCCCTCCATTTGATGATTTTTGCCATCTGAGGTAGCCTATGGCGTTTTATTGAATTACAACAACAAATTCATATTTTTGGTAGGAATTAATTAAATGCTCATAAAGAAATTCCTACTAAAATGAACGAGGTCTTTTAATAATGTCTTCTTAATGTCTACAATAATTTTATAAGCCCCCGCACTCGTATAAGCCCCCCCCCCCTCGAATAAGCCCCCATCCAAAAATATAAAAAATAAATAAGCCCCCAAGGGGCTAATTCGAAGATTTACGGTATGGAATTCTTAACAGGTGACTGATGTTGGCACCACCTACATTTTATCGGCAGAGCGAGCCGATAAAATTTGAATTATGCATATAACATTTTAGGAACAGACCCCAGAGGAAATATAGGTTATGGCGTCAAAGACCATAGGGAAAGATGATGGAAACAATAAATTGAAGAACAACAAGAAAATCTCAACTTATTTCATTTGTTTTTAGGAAGGTTTCGAAAGCCTGAAGAAATTGCCGGGAGGAACGATGAACATTTTTCTTGCGATATTCTAAAAAGCGATATTTTTACTCTTTAGATTTAAAATTGATTATCTCATCCTTTATGTTTGAAATTCATAAGTAATTTTCCAAAGTGTGATGTTCCAAAGTTTTGATATTCTTAAGCATGGTATTTTTAAAAGTTAATTTTCACTTTGTATACTTGCTATTCTCTTTTTTGCTTGTAGAATTATATCAATTAAATTGGAAGAGATGAAATCAAAGGGAACTATCGAAAAGATTCTTCTAAAGCCACGGCAAATATTTGACGATGTTAGTTCTAATAAATCCGGTGAGAATAGGTAAGGTAGCCTGCATTGCAGTTCAAAGGAAAACGTTTTCAGCTACTGGTGTATCACCAAGGTTTAACAACAAATTTATGTATAACGATCTATTTTGAGATATATATTCAAAATCGAAATTTTTTGACCTTAAAATTGTAAAACAGCAGAGCGCATGGAAATTTTAATACTTTATACAGATAATGAAGCAGAAATTTATTAAACAAGAAAAAAATAACTTTAATTAAAACTAAACATAGCAGCAAAAAACCAAGAGGGGCAATCATTTTCAAACACGAATTAATTTTAAAGGGCAATTATATTTGAGGCGCTAACCAGAATGTTTTCAGTTCGAGCCGATTGGCAGATAATCTATTTCCGGTGAACCTTACTGTGTTGTTGAGCTGGAAAGCTTATTCAATACAGAAAGAAAAATCTGTTTCGAAAAAACAATTGCAATGCTGCCTTACCCATGATCAGGTGCCTTTCGTCTTTGGATTATTGGGTTCCTTGCCATCGCATTGGAGTCAATTCCGAAAGCTTGTTCAGGCAATCTCATATCAGTAAGCATCGCAGAATGTGCATTCATAGCTGCCTCAAATGATTCCTAGAAGTCAAATATGGCTTTATTAAACAGCTCGAAGGGATCAAACAAAATGCCAGACGATATCATAACATAAAGAGCATGACAAAACACGAAGAAATTTCAAAAATTCAGTGTTGTTGTTTTTTACAGGCTGTATAAACCCTTGTCCACTCAACACCGGGCTCAAGGGAGTTCCATGGTAGTCAAAGGCCCGCTAAGCTCAGTATCACCTCCATGCTTCGATATAAAAAAATACCCCAAAGAATAGCTTTCTCGTCTTATAAAAAGGATACTTTACCAGACAAAGCGAAGCTTTATTCATCACTCGTCTTTCGACAAAGAATGGAACGCAACTGGTTTTGAATCGTAAAAATTCCAATAACTGCCTAAAGACATATGAAATCCGCCCGCAAATCAGGATGTTTCTTTATTGAAAATGACGTCATACAGGAGGTGAAATTAGCTTTAGATAACTATTGCCTGGACTTAAACAAATTGCAAAATTGGAACTCATTCATTGTCAATTATCAGCTTTTAAGCTACTAATATTTTAACTGGATGCCTCAAGTTTGACTCATATTGAATAAGTTCCAATAAACTTTGCTTAGAAATAAATGTCCTTTGGGTTAAGAATATTGATCTCTCGGTGGACTTCTGTCAATTAGTACCGAGAAAGAAAAGTTACTTTTTATGAGAATAAAACTGAAGTCGACTTATGAAAATACCTGTTTTGATGCAGTCACGATGTACTTAGGAAAATATCGTTTTGTCCATCTTACTTGTCCTTCTAGAGTAAACATGAAAGGTGAGAGATGAAAATCATGAAAAATACAGAGGTGATTGAATTTCTTCTTACTTCATCCATCAAATGGTGAGGAGACTGGAGAGGAGTGTTTGGAGCCTTTCCGTTATTTAGCCATGGGTGCACCAGGAGTTGCTGTATTGTCATTCTGTCCTCTGGATTGACATTCAGGAGCCTATTTGACAAAATTATTTCCTTTGAAGAGATTCACATGGACGAAACAAGACATAAAAACCCATATAGACTATCTAGGAAGTTGCTGGCTTTGCTAACAACACAATAACCATGTGCCATGATTCCAAGAAAACTGTAGGATGAGCTTCCTGTTTGGCCGAAATTCAAATGAAATTCGAAAACAGGTATATGGTTACATAAGGATATTGGATTCTATGCAACAAATTCCTAGGAAATTTTTAAAAACAAACTACTGGAGAATTATTAAAATTAGTACGATTAAGCATGAAAAAAAGAACAAAATTTAGTCATTTAATTTTATAAATTAAACATCTATAAAAATATTGCAGTTCCGCTATATCCCTCCCAGTATTTTGCTCTCGAAAAAGGCTACAATGTTTTGGGTAATCGGCTTCTAAACGCTAACCATAATTTTTCCTCCGTAGAAAGGCTTGATACAATATATTTCAGGGCCTTACCAATAATTGTTCATTGGGGGAGAGGGTTGGAGGCCCCAAAAATTATGAAAATTATTTGTTTCCAATCGCGTTTGCTCTTATTATTCTGAAACAACGGTGATCCCTAATCATTCTATTCTTGCTACGTTCTGTATTTTATTAAGATATAACATTCATTATTAACGCAAGGAACAAGAAAATTTGATTTGCCTTTTGACAACATCTTTTGCAAGGTCAGATACACGCCCCCATTCGTGATGTGGGAAGTCGTATTCACCAGCCATTATTCTCCGTCGCATTCCCTGAGACAGTTGTTTGCGCGGGTTTTCACTGTAGAAAGGCGGGTAGCCACATAGCATGATGTAGATGATCACCCCAAGCGACCACATATCACAGCTCTACAAATAGAAATATGGTTTCAGCTAACCGAGCTAACCCTGAAATCATTTGTGTTCATTAAAAAATACCAACCAGTGATTGCAACTGTACAGATCAATATTCAATATTTACAGCAGATTTCAGAAAACGTCTAAACCTTCCTGCAGAGGAAATCTTGCCTTGTATGCATTTTCTTGTATCTTCTTGAACAACTGTTTCTTAGAAATAGAATTTAAGTTAAATTGTCTATGGTTTGGTACATACGCTTTGTCAGATAAAAAACAAAAGTTCAAGCACAGCGGTGAATATCTCTCCTTTTATATAGTCCGTCAAACTATGTATTGATCTTTCTCAAAACAACTGCATAGGTGGCCTTTCTTTGACTCAAAGCCGCGAAGCCGAAATGTTATTCAACGTAGCCATCGATATAAAAGTTTTATACACATCTTTAATGATATATCTCGATGAACATATGCTGTATTAGTATACAGAGTCCTTCTGCTATTTCACAACTATTCCTGTGAACAAATATCAGAACGCAGAGCCAGAGTGAATATATACGGTGAATTTCCTGTTCCACTGTCAATGATAGATCAACTGTCTCAAAATTTAGTTGCCTGACGATCGAATTAGACGTAAATCTAGAAGCAGCAATACAAAAACACTAAGTTCTACCCACTACAGAAAGCAGAGCGCCACCTAAACGAAGTCGGACACTTTACAGCAGATAGGTTAGCAAAAATGCTCAATAATTTGAAGCTTTCTTAACAATAATTTTAAATAAGTGCTAGTACCTTGCTGTAAGTGTATGGTGGGCTTCCTGCAGGAATGTGGCCTAATTTCTGCGCCTTGTGAAATTTTTGTGCTTCTAAAACCTAACAAATCAGAACAAAGGATTTGGTAAAGTTTATTTGAGAGGGAACTTAATAATAGTTATGGGCTGATCTAGTTACA